GGAATGCTGAAGGAGTTTTGCTGATCTTTTTCAATACTTAGAATGTACTTGTTATATCCAAAGTTATGTTCTGGGTGCTTCCAAAACAGGCTTCCCTTAAACTGTTCAAAGGGTAATAGCCCTACCTGAATGCTGTGCAATACAACCAAATACACTGTATTTTTCTAATGTCACAAATTAAACATTACATATGAAAAGCTACTCCAGGAGTCACTTGAGGCCAAACAGTTAACACGTTCCAAAAGAAAGAAAAAAAAATGAGGAAATAGCAAGGCTGAATTCTGGGTGTTAATAAAAATGCATCCACCCAATGCTGCTGCACCAGACAAGCTGAGATACTGCAGTTTGGCATATATACATTGCCATATATATGCCACACCAGGAGAAACCCCTAAGTTTCCAGAGTGTGCTAAAAATGGGATTTACTCAGAAGAATCAGAATTTGACCACAGAAGCTCAGTGTTGATCTGCTTAACAGTACAATTCAGGGCTAAAAGGGAGATTATTTGTTCTAGTAAGGCTTCGTACATTATACATCCAGGGGTCTAAAGCCAAAAGACTAATGTTCACTATGGAAAGGTAAAAAGTTTTATTTCCCAGCATAGAATTTACAGACAACTCACTTGTGCATTTCTTTTTAGAAAGGGAACTGCTGTTTCAAAACCTACTGTGCTGAAAAGCTAACACTTTTAACTCAAAATACCCGGAGTCTGCTCAGAGAACAGCGTCCTACTTTACCTGGTTCTCTGTCACAACAAAAATACCCCCCCAAATGCCGACCTCCAAATGCCACAGAGAATCATGAGAATATTACAGCTCCTCTCTCTCATATACAAAAGACTAAAATTTGCATCTTAAAAGAGACTGAAGTCTGCAGAGAAATTGTAATTGCTGAAGATGAAACAATTTCAGGATTGCTGTATATATTTATCATACAGCAAAACAAGCCCCCTTGCCCAGTAAAGCTACCTCTGACCATGGGGAAAAAACACTCCCAAGGTCTGAACATTGAACACGCAAAAAGGTGGGAAACATGAGTGCATGCTGCCTGTATAATTTCAGGCCGGTGCTCCCATGCACCTACGTTAATGTGCACCTTTTATTTTCAGGACTGTTTAGTATTCACTGTTTTAGGGCACACGCCTCATTCTGGTCAAAGGTTGCACAGAGGTCAATTAGCAAGAAGGCATTCAGTGTCTTATCCAGATCTCATTTAGTGTCTCAAACCCCAGTTCTGAAGAAAGAGTTCTTGATTTCTACATACAGTTTTGCAGCGCAAACATTAGAGCATACAAGTGCTCTGCAAACATTAGCATGTGTGTTCACAATGACTTGATGGTAGGCAGGGAGCAGAGCTGCTCCATGCCATCAAATGCACAGCCAGGACAGAGATTCTGAAACCCCACTGGGTAGGGGTTTCGATATGGTATGGTCGATTTTAAGATTACATCTTTTAGGTGTGAAAGCACACCTCTGCAGCTAGCAGCTCCATTTCCCTGTCCTGCAAACAGCATGGACAAGATGAGCGTGCCATGGCAAGCTGCCCGCTGGCTGGATCCGCGCAGTGGGACTCGACTCTGTGGCAGAGAGGAGAAAGCCAATTCCCTGTCACGGTGTCAAGCTGCCTTGGCCCTAAGGCCCCTTCTTTCCATCTTCCACTCCTTAAGTGTCCTCCGATTTCTGCAACAAATGAGGCAGCACACCACCGAAGAACAGCCTCGCTCTTACTCTTCTCTGTACTATGTTCACAGTCTCGTAGAAGAGATACCATTTGATTATCAAAAATTGAATCAAAGATACGAAAAAAGAAAAAGTGAGCAAGACTTGCACAAGAACCTTAACTACTCCCATGTTCTAGCCTGAGTACTCAGTCTGGCAACTTCAATAACATTCTTTTCATTCATGAACGTCTCTTTCATCCCCCATTTTGGGGGGGTGTTGTGTGGTTTGTGTGTGCATGTATTTTTCCTCTCCTTAAAGCAAATGCAAATGTCACCATCAGGTGACAACATGAACACCAGATGTGCAGAGCTGACACCCTCATTTTCCGTACAGAGCCTTGCAGCGAGCCAGTGGAGTCACTCTCAGTGAGCTGGCTCCTGAACGGGATGAACCACATGCTTTGCCACACTCAAGCAATCCCCAATTTGCTACCAACAGCAGTAGACCAAGGACTTCAGAGTCACGCTGGAGGGGATGGTACCCCAGGGAGCACTCTCCCCTCCAGTCACCCCAAGGAGCCCTGTCCCTCCTTTGGACCTGTCCCACCCAACTCATCCCTCTACACTCTCCTTCCCTACCCAGCCATCCGCCTTGTCCTCATTTGTCTAATTTCAAGTTACTGCTCCAAAGCCTCCGGCACCAAAGCTTCACAGCTGAATCCCCTAGATGATTATTCTTATTATTTTTAATCAGGAGCAAAACAACATATTTTTCCTTAGTCACCTTCTTGGAAACAAACAGCAAGACTTGTTTTGGCTGCAACCTTCTCAATTTCATCCGATGTAGACACCTACCAGGGAAAGTTTAAGGCCAAACTCTTAAACTTTGGAAAAATCACAAGCAATTGAAAACATATATTTACAGGAAATCCAACACAACCTTAATAGACAGTGCTGTCAGTTCTGCTAATAATTAAAAGGCAGCAATCTATTAAATTATTTTTAGTTGTGCCCTTACTCTCCTACACACGAGGGTCTTAAAATATCTGTGCATCTGGGAAAAGTCTTTTTCCATGTCAGCACTTGGATGCTATCCCACAGGATAAATTTGCCACACGCATACAGCGCTAGTACTGAAATAATTTTAACTCGTTACTTATATCAATCAAGCACAGGGAAATCGCCCCTGCGCAATCAGTTTAATTACACTCCCCCCTCCTGCCTGCCTCTGCTATGGATGCGATAGATCACAGCTCTAACAAAGATGAAATTCAGAGTGCTACAGGCAGACTCGCTCAGCTCCCGTTGCACACACTCTCCAGCTCCTGGGAGGTCCAAGTGAAAGTCTGAATGAGTTCAGTGGGTACGTCACAGCGAAGTCTTTGGACGCTTACAAGCACTGGCAACAGAAAAGCCTTAAAAACCTCAAACAAACAAACCACCGAGCTGACATTTATTTCCGAACAAAGAAACCCTACCTAGCACCCCACGTCTGATAATCCTGGTCACGAAGCTTGTTTGGAGGGGGGTAAGGGAAATTTCCATGGTGGCAGCAGCTCCCCACCACTCCAGTGTGAGGGGCTGAACAAGGTCCGGGGCTGGCACACACAGTGCGCAGTGGCAGCTCTCCAGAAGTACATGATTGACGTCAGTAACTTGTGTAATCATCCTGCTTTAGCTCAAGTCTATAAACAAAGTTTTCGGGGGGTTGTGTGGTTGGGGTTTTATCAGTTTGGGTGGGTTTTTTTGGTTTTGGTTTTGTTTTTTTTTTTAACCCAGCTCTCAGTAGTTGTATTTTCTCATAGGACTGGAACAATGAAAATATTTGGAGAAACCTCCATCATAAATTAAACTGCAGTGATCTGAAAGGCCTGCCTGCCATCGAACTTGTCCTCCTGAGCCTGAAACCTACTACTGGATATGCTAGTTTCTTTAAGAAAGCCTTCACTGGAACTCTGTCTTTAGAAAGCCTTAAAACAGTACAAATCAGAGTCAGAAAAAAATATCACAGTGATTATGATCGATTTCCCCCTTCCCCAACAGCCTTTTTATATTGTAAATCTAGCACAGGCTGTGCCTTCTGAAATCCTGGGAGAAAACCTCAGTTGGGGCCAAATGTCACAGCTCCATCCATACCACTCGTGATCAGACCTCTCGCACGTAAAAGGTGAGTTTTACCTTCCCATAGGTTAAAACATCAGGATAGATTTTGTCTTTTTTAATGTGTACTTAATGCAATCATCTCAAAGCAGTTTTGTTTCAGCTTGGGTGTAGTATTTGGATGCCCAGAGACATGATTTTGGCTACACAACGATGGCAACATCTGCACTGATGAATGGTGCTATGCTATGTTCACCTGATGTTTTCCAAGTGATTTAGAGAAAGTGAGATAATAAACATAGTGCTTGCTTTCTTCAAAGCAATTTTTGAATCACATCTAATTGATCTCCAAAACAACCTCTGCAGGATGCACAGCAATACTGTCCTTATTTTTCAGGAGAAGACATGGATAGGACACTGTGATGGTTTATACAGGGCCAAAGTTAAGAGAATCTGGACTGGAGATGGGAACATCTTTTCTCTTTCCAAAGGTAACTGCAGTGAAAAAAACTTCAGTAAATCTGAATATCTTCACTTGCAATTATTTTCTGGTGTTGTCTGAAATCCCTTGCTGCTTACTTTTTTCTCAAATCCATATTACTGCTCCTTCTCCCTTTCAAACTGAATATATACACAGTAGGTATTTTCCCCATATTCCTTGACAGCATTATATGTTTTCTGCTACAAAACTGACAAAAGATCCTGATGTGGATGAACCGCAGCAATGACAACTTTGAAAAGTACTACTGGAAAGCCAGAAGTTTGAACTGTACTGCCTTTCCACTGTCTGGAACACAGGTATTGCTCCTTGTCTTGGTGATGGGTATCGACACTTCTCAAAATCATGAAAAAGAGGTTCAAGGATGAAGGCCAGTTAGCTATGAAGGTCGAGACCACACCCATTATGGCACAAGAAACTGTGAAACAGTGTCACCTAAAGTTGGTATTGATGCTGTATGAGGAAGAGAGACTTTAAAAGCGTCATGCCTACCTTGTTGATGTGCAGTTGCTGTTGCTGGAATTGCTGCTTGTGTTTCTCCAAGAACTGCTGGTGCTGCTGCTGGATCACTAACTGCTGGAGGGCCTGGGCGTTCTGGGGAAGGGGAGCAGACTGCGTGCGCCCCAGTGGGCGATGCTGACGGAGTTTGTGTATTGAAGGGGAGACCCGTTCTCCACCAACCAGAGACTGTGCGTGGAGGGGCAGTCCTGAAAGATACCAGTCTGAAGATAATATGGAGGAAAAAACAGCAGAGAAGAAAAAAAGGAAGAAGAAAGGAAGGGAGAAAACGGCTGTTGAGTAACGCTAATGGTGACAATGATACATAACGTTAAAACCAGCCACCTCGCCATTTACAGCTGAAGTATCCTTGAAAGAGAACAGATAACAATTAATTACCATTGGATGGAATAATACTTTGCTTTCTTTTGAATTCTTTGTTTGCTTGTTTACTCAGAGACCCTAGGGACATGTTTCATTTCTTAAAATCAGCGACACCTTACAGACCCTTCTATTGCTCGGTGGGTGACATGAGTTAAGATCACAGTGGTAGACTGAAGAAGTTAAAGTCTTACAGCTTTCCTTGTTATAGGGAGTAATCCCGGTTTCATTTCTAGGGAAGTACCAACCCAAGCTGCCACCCCCACAGCATCCAGCAATTATACCTTACGGGGGGATCACTGGATATGCTGAAGAAAGACAGATGCTGATGAAGCTGCTTCCCACTCTAGACCACGTAGGGAAGCACGTCTGCCTGTGGCTGTGCTACACCCTGCTCCACAGAAATGACTAGAGACGAAAACTTCCACATGATAAACCCCTGACCAGGTTTGCGTTGGAAAAAGCCACTTCCTTGAAGCCTTTCAGGAATATGGGAGCCATCAGGGTTCATTATTTCTGTAGAAAGAAGGTAAGTTAGAGGCCAAGATGACAAATAGCTAGAATTGTTTCCATCACTGTCCTGTGTATACATGCTAGTAACTTAATGAAAACATAAGGTTATTTTGGGATAACTTGTGTTACTCACACACCCCTTGGCAATTTGGGTGCCTCTGATGACTACCATGTGAAATACCCATCTGAGCTCTGGTAAGGGCATGTCTTTAGGAAGTACCCTGTCTTTTTAGCTGTTCTTGGAGTAAGTTAGTTCCTGCTCTGCTCTCTGAAAACATACCTTCACATACTTCTTAGAAAGCTGTGACATGAAGACACATGTCCAACACAAAGCCCAACCCAAGGGGGAAGGAGCTGAGGATAAACCTTTACTTTTGCTTGTTACACCTTTGGATAGAAAGGCATCACTGGTGTGACGTGCTGTCTCCCTAATGTGGATAAGGCTGCACACAGTTTTAGGAAAAAATTACTCTTTTGCTTTACCTCATTGTATAAAACAAACTAGAGACTGCACAAGTGATTAGCATCATTCAGAAATACTGCCCAGTTCAAGGGTCAGAGAATTTGTATCTTCTCTTTCTTCAGTCTTCCACTGAGAAGAGAGAGAAGCTGCCCAGAAGCTTGCAGCCAGCTGAACACAGTGGATAAGAAAAACCTTGACATTTCTGTCCCAGGACATTACCTCCTTTTCCTACTGATTCACAGAACTGCCCTATGTGGAAGAAACTGACTCATTTAAAAGCCTCTCCCTCTTGAGGAAAGATTCACCAAGTTTCTCCCACCCTTTGCTTTTCTGAAAAGAAACATGTAAAAGGGTATCTTATTTTATAAATGCGTGTTTCTAAATGTGTGTGCATATACACACACATGCCTCTGTGTGTATGAATATCTGAATTATTTGGAAAGATGTGGTCCATTTCCCTTACAGCACAGTTCCTCTTACCAAAAGTTCAAATTAGACAGCAGAGGAAGGTAACCTATACAGTTTGCATAGGACACCTTGGAAGACTACCTTCCTCCAAGTGAATGACTAAGGTCCCCCCGTGAAAACTTTCCAGGGAGACGCCTTGTTCCTACTTCAAACACACAGGTCAATGTGAAGGATATTATCCAGAGTCACAAGAGGAACAGCAGACCAAAGGGATTCTGCTGTAGTTTCCCAAAACCCCCATGTCTACCTTCCAACACAGAAGCAGCATGCCATCGTGGTGGATCATTTTGCAGCTGTCAGGAGACTATCTCCAGAGCTGAAGGCTACCAGCGGAATACTAATAAACTCTACTTCACTTCCAAGGAAGTTCAGAGTACTAACTGTAGTTTGGCAGCCAGTCCACTTATGTCTTTTGAGACCATGTGTCAGCTTGCTCTCTCTCAATTGCTGCATCTGGAACGTGTGTTTCTTCTTGTTGCTCTGTTGTATAGTGAATATTTCTCCTTAGTGTTGGTTTATAACATGTTGTACTCACTCTGAAAACACCACATGTAGCAGGTGGACTAGAAGGAATACACTTGGAAGCAAACAAAGTACACTGTAAACTGAAGGAAGCTTTGAGAGATGTCAAATAGGAAACAGAACAGCATCTCTTCCTACGTGTGCTTTAAAGCAAATGCCAGCATGAAGGGAGAAGGAAGTTTTGGTGATAGGGTAAGAGCAAAAATCTTCCCCAATGGCTCTTCATCAACAGACCTTGGCAAAGGGCAACTGGTGAAGAGCCATGTCATGACTCTGGGTAACCTCGTCACGCCACAGCAACCATGGCAGGAGGCAGCAACAAAATTACGTAAAGGTTCAAGGAATCTGCGCACACCACTCTTACAGCTCTGAGAGTGCTGGCTAAACAACACACTTCTGTGCTTCAGCTTCCCCATATGTACATGCTTATAAGCTTATCACAACCCCACGTATATTCCTGGGTCGTGAATGTATAACCAGATACAAGCCAAACCAGAGCCGTACTGTAATGCTTCAATGATCAACATCTCTCAAGAGTTTCCATTAGAAACAGAATGAAAGAAATAAAAATCAACACATCTACAACTTACGCAGAACATCTTTTGTCCCAGCATTACACACTGTGAAACAGAGATGCATCCTACTGGGGATTATTGCTTTGAATCAACCCTATTTATAGAAATATGCCTTCCCACAGGTACTTAATTCTGAAAATATGACACAGGGAGTGATTCAAAGCAATTAGCATACTGAAAATGTAACATATACAAACAAATACAATCTGTTTGAATGCAGTTGATTTTGCCATGCTTTTGCCATTTATAATAATGACGAAAAGCAAGTATTTTTATCTGGGATTTTGTAAATGCATGCCTTTCATATACAGAATAGAAACCATCCGTGACAAACAGGAAGGGTAATCATAAGACACAATGCTTTTGTATCCACTTTAATCTAAAGTATCCACTTTAATCTAATCAGAACTCTTAACTATATAGTTTTAAATTGTGACCTACAAACTTATGCTTTACTTATGGAAGTAAATACCATTTATTTTCATTTCACTAAATTGACAAGGCAGCTTCCCCCTACCTCTGGATGAGGTGGGCAACCTCTGATTTTGCAAATGCCACCACTATCCAAAGTATCAACAAACACATCCTAAAGGTTATATATATATTATACCTACATAATGTACAGATGATGCAGTACCTCTTTTCGTACAAGAGAACGCTTTACAGAAAACTCCCAGATGTCACTTGCTGTCTCTCCCCAGCTGGGACTGATTTTTTTGTATTATCTACAGAGCACTCACCTGTGACTAAGGGAGTTTGTGCAGTTGGCTGTTCCAGTAAGACCATGTGTTGCAGAAGAGGGTTATGTGCAGTTCCCCCATCTCTTTCCAACGTTGTAGTGCTCAAGTAGGGAGTGAGGTGGGTGCCAGGAAATAAAGAGATCCGCTGCTGTAAGGTCGGGATTGTGAGTCTCTCCGCATCCTGCTGTGCTGATCCTCCCTGCAAACACACAATTGATGGCACAGCGCACTACGGCATAAATTGGTGGAAACAACATTTAAAAAGCTGCACTCCACCACCACTTACGCTGGAAGGGCCAGTTGCAGGCAGTCCTAGTGTGATGTTGGGCAAAGAAGGAGATGTGTAGAGTGGAAGCTGTGTTACTGAGCCTTCACGATTCACAAGTCTGTGAGCCAGGCTGGTCTGGAAACAAAATTAAGAACATTGTCCTGGTGAGGGAGCATCCACAGATCAGATCAAGGACACAGTACACTTGCTGTGAGGACACATCAGAAACATACAGAGCTGACGTTGGAAACAGCAAACAGGGGAACTAAGCTCTGCTTCAGATGCAGCCTAAATAGGCACAGACTAGGTGCATGTCCTGAATGTCACTGCTGTGGCCATGCAGGGGGCCAACGAGACCAGGATAACCAACACAGGGATGATCTTGCTCTGCAGCTGCCGCCAACATCGCTGCCCTACAGAGAGACCTTTTACAGTTTATTTGATCTTTATTGGACACTAAAGATCACCCCTGCATCCTCACTGGTACTCTGCTTCTGGCCCAGTCTTCATGCAGCGCCACTACAAAAAGCTTTTGCAAATATTTAACAGCTTGCTTGTCCTTCTCAAGTATTTGCCCCTTTTAAAACTAAAACAGATTACCTTAAAAATGGCATTACAAGGGCTGTTGTTCTCTTTAGCAAATCACAGACAATTTATGCTATTTACTAGCATACTTTAGCTTAAATCAGACTTCAAAATTTCATCAAAAAGCCTTAAGGCTGCATTTATGTAGCTATTTCCTGATTTTCAAGGTAAAATGCAAGATTTACTGAATTATCTTATAGCCATTTAAAGCAGGAGTACTTAAGTAAAAATACCTTTAATTTCAAAACAAGATTGATTTGAAATACACACTAGAAAACCGATTACAAAAATTACATTATTTTAAACTGCCCGATTTTCCTGTTAGGAAACAAGTGTTACGATCACCCTGAATTCTCTGCAGGTGATTTTCCAACTTAACAAAATAGAGTTTAGATTTCAAAAAGACTCTATAGAATTTCTACTGTTTAACTCAGGTGTTACAATGAAAAAAGGAGTTATGATTTAACTTAATATTAGACTATGGAGCAATCTATATCGATGTAACAGAGATCTGACGAATGGCTTTATACATTTTAGACCTAAATTCATAGTCCTGTAAGTCAATAAGACTTTGCAGGTTATTTCTTTGGTTGCAAGGCTAGGACAGCTCTGGATAATAAAAACCTATTTTTCTATCTTCAAGACTCTAAGGTGAGACTTAAAAAAGACTTGCAGCAACCTTTCAGGGAACAGGGGGGAAGCACATAATAACTAACATTGAAAACCAAACATTTTCTATGTAACAATCTTCAACAGCAATCCGGCCTCCTTGATTTATGGAAATTTAACTGGGCTAGCTGACAGCTTTAACAAGACACCTCACCTCTGCACCTGAGTTGGTGCTGCCCATGCAAGAAGGACAGGAGTAGTAAAGCTTCCCACGCCTACGTTTGTCACCGTTATCAGATACTTGGGATGCCTTTCAAATAGACTCTTCTATTAACTATTAACTTCTACTACTTCTATTACCTTCTATTAACTAACTTGCCAGTCATTCTCCCAGTGTCAAACTTTGCCTAAATTCCTCACATTCAGCAAAGTCACCTAGTCTTCATACAACCTTGTGCAAAATTTCATCTGCAAAGTGAATTTTTTCTTATTTCCTTTTGCCTTCTTGTGCTTTCATTAATGTCATTAAAGCTTATTGAAAATATAATATTAGAGATCAGTTCTCCCATAAAAAGAGTAAATCTGTTTTTAAGATCCCATTTCATAATTTGCTGCCCCAAAGGAGGAAATTTGCAGGGAGCATTTTGCTATTGAGCGGTAAAGGGCATGTGATTGTGCATACCTCCACACCACTTCTTCCAAGTAATGTTGAGCACTACTGGCAATTTTGCTTTAATTTAAATTACATAACGTTAGCATGCCACAACAAGAATAAGATAGTTATTGTCAGCAGAATAATGAAATATTTTACTGGTATCACAAATGAAAGAAAACTACATCCATTTTTTCTTTGAACAATCAATACTCTGTAGTTGTGCCTCAAACTATCTCCTGGGGATTTGTTTTAAAAACAACTAAGAGAAAAACCCAGCTGCTGATGCTACGAGCATATGATATTTAGCAGCATTATCATAACTTTAAATATACAGATCCCATCTATGGGTTGTACCCAAGTGTTTTTTGAATTGCACAGAAGAGAACAATTTCAGCATGTACAATTTTCATCTGCAGTCAAGTATTTTTTTATAGTCTTGTATCAACTGCAATGGCAATGAATATCATGTACACTTCAGAGATGGAAAAGCCTTTAGACTTAAAAACAGTATTTAAAAATAGATATTGTCTATTTGAAAAGGAGGCAGAGAGCTGTAGTCTTTCTACACTGAAGACAAGCACTGAAACTTAAATAATGAACTCAGATACCATGTTCCAACATATCTGAAATGGCTCAAGAGGTGACCTAGCAAACTAAAAAGCACAGAAACATATATCTCACTTAAAATAAAACATGAAGGTAAGCATGAAACACTTAAAGTTGGCAAGATTATTTTTTCAGAAAGATTTAAGTATCTCTATATATTCAAAAGTGAGAACATAAGAAAGCCTGCTCAACTAGTATTAAAGAAATCTCCAACACTTGGACTACCAGGTAATACTATTTCTACTGAAGGAGAAGATTTTAAAGAAACCAAAACCCTACCTTGTCCAGTTTTTTTTTTTTTCCCAAATGAACCTATACAGACAAATGAATCAGCTAGTATCACAACATGAAATGCTGGAAGAAAGTGCAGTTATTGTTCCTCAAAAACAAATGCAAAGGACTAGGACATTTTGCTAAACCATTCAAGTAAGCCTGAAATGCTGGGAGAACAGTTTGTGCAACAGGTTACTGGTGTTCTGTTTGCTATCACACAGTGATTTATGTTTCATTCTGTTCTGTGATGGCAATGATCCAATATACTTAACACAGTCCTGGGCAGTTTTAAAATTGGAAATGCGCAATCATTTTTATGTTACGTTTATCCTTTTTTTCTAAAAAAATATAGAACAGTGAAAAAAGTTCTAGACATTATTTCCAGAGAAATGAGAAGTAGATTTTCTTCCTCCTTTTTGCATAGGTTGTTTGGAGATGGTGCATCAAATGCTGCTCTTATAAAAATTCTAGATCAACACACTTCTTTCCTCACATGCAGCAGCACTGCTGTGGATTAGACACTGCAGTACAGTTGCAAAAGAGGCAAAGACACCTTCCAGGGAAAGGTTTTGTCAGTACAGAGATTTTTTCAAAATCATCTGCAAAGCTCATGCCTCAGCCTAACTTACAAAATTGCTGCATTACAAGCAGATGATGAAAAGTTTTTCTTATAGTTTGCGTCCATTTTAGTAGGTATTGATAGTGTAGTCACAGATGATTACTTCAAATTATTTAGTTGAAAAATAAAACGGTTAGGGAGAATACTACAGCTTCATATTCACCTGCATGAGCTAACACTGACTTACAGGAAGCTGCCTGCTCTGTTTATATCACAAGAAATTGTTGAATCCTCTAGTTTTTCCATCAGCAGTAATTGGAGATTTGCAGTTTGCTAAGTATAGACAAGATTGACAGCTCCTGAATCGGCAAAGCCGGTAACTCGGCGCTAGTCTTCCTGGGGCTAACACAAATGTACCTAAGACGTGCCCTCAGCTCAGCCAGTCTTCAGTTCTGCAATCCTGATAAATAACGCTGTATATAAAATACTTTTTCCCAGGTCTGCTCCAAACTACTAAACAGTCGGTGTGCATCTCAAAATCCACGTCTCTTTAGAGCAGCTTCAGCTCCCAGTATCAAGTGAAGATTCCACCTTACACCATCTTAATCGTTTCAAGAATTGTCTTAATCTTGTAAGGTCTACAGTAGACTAGAGCGGATATAGATATGTGTTGGATAACTTGGCATAGGAGAGCGTGGAGTAGAAGGCATACTGCCTATATTAAATGCTGTTACACTACATTAGAAATGAAAATAAAGGGAAGGTCTGTACAAAACTAGAAAGCAGTAAGGGCTTACATTTATACCACAAAGTTTTTTTCAGCTCTAAATGACAATTTGGGAGAACAAGCACAAGCCTGTTTTTACAGTCCTGATGTTCAGACAGACACTATATTCACGGGGAGAACATGGGTAAACTGGATTAAAAGAAATGCACCAGTGACACAACACAGTCATGCTGTTTTTTTACATGTAAGGCTTATGGTGGGAGCCAGTTAACATGGCCCATACCCCAACATTTGCCTTCAGAAAAAGGTGGACTTCAGTAACTCTGAACACAGGTGCTGCTGTGTTGAATCAAACCCCAGTTTACTCAGCCCAATACCCTGCCCTTGACATCCATAGCAGAAGCCTCAAGTCACAGTGAAACCTAAGGATTACAAACTACCACATGGCACCAGGCACCAAGCTTTCAAATCCTTTAGGTGGGGAGGAAAAGGTTAAATCCATTCCTTTTAATCCAGTTCTGGTTTGGTCATATTTAGACTAACCTACCGCACGCAACAAATTCACCCTATATACAATATATGAGAACAAATTCCCCAAATTTTACAATATTCGCATTTGACCAGGAAACGCTTTTCATGCTCTACCTTGCTAAATCACTTTTGTTTTTACTCTTTCCTCACAACAAAACCACTACGAGTTACCACAAGCAGCTTGTGAACTGGCTCAAACTAGATTTAATAAACAGATAACACATACTGTCAGCCCAGATTGAGAGGTAATTCCGAAAGTCTGCTCCAAGTCATGACTGGGGTTTGTTCTTTCTTTTTAAGTGTGGTGCCCACTGGTTTGTATGCCCAAATTCCTAAAACTCTGCAAAAACTGATTAGAAACCCAAGCATTAAAAATCAGAGTGAGGAAGGGCTCTGTACCTCTGCTTGAATACTCGTGACTGATCCTGCAATTCCATTCTCGGCGCTTATGTTATTGGAGCTGTTGTTTGGAGAGCTGGGACCAGATCCAGGAGCACTGTTGCATGCAGAGTCTAAAAACACATCCAAAACCAACTTTCAGCATTACAAACAATCTCTGCGATGGTATTTAGACAGATAACAACCACTTGAGTTTTGTTTTGGAGGAAAGCAACCCTCCTCCTCCCCATTTTTCCCCCTAAATCTTCCCAGGGCTCTTAAAATACTGACAAACACTTTCAAATGGTCTGTCCAAGTACCTACTTACCCTATTTATGTCTTCTCCTCATGGGGGTTTCTCTTGTAGTATATTAATAACTTTAAATACAATTGCAATATAATAAAAGACATGAAAGCCTTGAAGAGGCCAAACTGGAGAACGTCAGATTGTCCTGCTTCATTTTTCTAGAAGTGCTTCTCTCACCCTCTTTAGCCTATAACCCTAATGACACCCTCTCGCCACATATTGCATCACACTGCACGCTGGAACCAGGGAACCATCTCAGCATTGACATTTTCCCATGCAGGCTTCTGGTGCCTCTGGATTAACTGGAAATATGTTGCCAGCACCAAGCCCTCATGCAGATCGTGCACGAGAGCTGACCTCTGCTTTTATAAAGAAGCACCAAGATTTTCCGGTGCAGGCAAGCGGGCAGGTGTGATGTCCTCGTCACCTGTGAAGTGCCCACACCATGACAAGTCCTTGGAGAAACATGACCCGCCTTGGGCTGCCCTTCATGCAACACCACTGCTCCCACAGCACTGAGGTCCCAAAAACTGCCTGGGGACTGACTCACAAGGATGGTGTTTTGCCAGGATGGCAAACTAAATAATTTTAAGAGATTTAAAAGCTGCCTGAGTGACATGGGACTGGACGGACAGCTAGCCATGGTCATGGTTGAACACATTTTACAGAAATCAGGAAAAACTCTACAGGGCCTAAAACGGTAAATGTGTTTCAAATCACTGCCTTTGTTTTTTGGGGGTTTTTTTGTAAGTCTTCTCCATTCAGGGAGTAAAACACTTTTTCGTTGGAAAAACCCAAGATGGAGTTAATCCCCTAAAATAATTCTGTTATCACCCGAATGCTCAGAAAATCCTCTCAGAGTTGTATATTTTATCAACACAGTCCCTGTGAACTCCATAATCAAAACCAAAGAGATGACCAGCCTGAAATCAAAGCCTCCCCATTAATGATGCAGAAATAACAACAAACAGAAACAGCGCATGAAATTGCCACAACCAGAAAACTTCTCTCAGAAGGTCTCCTGCTTGGTATATGGCACAGCTTCCAGTGTTTCTCCTTTCATTTTGGAAGGTAAATAACACTAAAACTTTTTTTTCTGAACTTTCCTCCTCCCCAAGCACAGGATTTGCCTAATGCCAGAACAATCTCCTAGTGGCTGCAACTGTTCAGGCTGCAGCAGTCTCATAATTGCCCCAGAAGAAATAAAAGCCAGTTGTTACAATGGGGGGGATTTAAAAAAATTATTTTCTTTTATGGCATTATTCTGTACATACTATTTTGCTATTTCAAGCCTTGCAAGTACCTCCAGGAAAGTAGCAAAGTGACTTTTTTTTTTTTAAAGAAGCGTTGTTGCTTTTTGTAGGCTCTGCATTTGCAGGGAGGGGGGGATGCATCTCGCTATCAAGAAGACTGAGCACTGGTTAACACCCAACTGAGCGCATAAAATTGAACTTCTCCATGGAAAGCAGCTTCACAGAGCCCAGGTGTTTTGAAAAAAACATTCTGAATGCATGGAAAATATGGGCTTTTTCTGGGACCACCTCATTAACTACAACATATCAGATCTCGTGTATACTATCTAGACATAGGAAATTACCTGGAACATTCAGACTGTGACTCTATGCAGATCTGTTCTTCAGGGATTAAACACACATTCTACTCCCTGAAGTGGGACTACTTTTAAAAGTTATTTTCCATTCAAAAGTCCCCTCTTACTATAACGACTCAGCTATTTTTCTAGCTAGGCTCCAGGCTGGCTTCTTGAACCAGATCTATGCTCAGTGAGAAGCAGGAACTTCCACTACCATCTCTGAAGGCATTACTGGGATCAAACAGTCAGCCGCTAAGGCTTGATTTATCCTAAAAACCATGTAACATAGCAATATGAGTGAAGTAAATTCAGTTTCCAGATCTGATATAAATTATGCTTAGCTGTTGAAATCATATATTCCCCCTGCAAACAGAGAGGCTCTGACACAGAGCAGTGCATAGCTACCTCAGAGTGTCCCAGAACCATTGGGCTCTCTAAAGAGAGCTCACTGAGTTTGTCTGAATGATGACAGTGCCTTAAAGTGAGACAAAAGTCTGGAAGAGCTGTCACATAGTGGTACTTACACAGAGGCATCCCTAGATGGTGCTAACAATTAACTTTATGGTAATCGATGTATCTACTCTGATCTCTCTTTACAAACTTCATTCCCAGAATGTTTTTAAGGACAACAAGAAACCGCCTAGTAAGTAGTCAGAAATATCAGCTGTACATATAAAAAAATGCCTTATATGTTTTAAAACTTTGGCATAATTACTTAACAAGGAACTATGGCAGTCTGCCCAAAGTCTAAAACAAACAGGGCTTGTAAAGCGTTTACTGATGGAGGACGACAGCTGTAAATTATGGCCTCCCCACGGACATTAATAGCATCACCTTTGAGAAATTTTATTTCTCAACAACCTGTTGCTGAAGATCATAGAAATGCTTGGGAAAAAAACAGCACTCTGGTGGCATATCCACATCTGTCTACACACTTCTTAAAACAAACCACAAAAAAAAAAGCTCATTGAGTTGGTAATGCTGTCTCAATAAAGAGGTATCCAATGGACCAACGCTGCTGATGCTCACATGCATCAGCCACTGTTGAACTCTGCCAACTTTATCCAGGATTCACTAAAATTGAGAGGCAAACAAAAGATCCGCGCTGCACAGTTAACTAGATGCAGGAATTTTGGAAAGGGACACCTCATTGAGTGGCTGCCGGCACAGACTTGTTGCTTACTCAACATACCTGTGACATCCAGCGGGCGCTTCTTAAGAGCAGTAACCACTGGACCATCCTTTCTGCGCAAGAGGGGGCTGCTTCGTCTTTCAGCAACTTTTTGCTTTAGTCTGGATCGTAACTTCAGATTGGGTTCAGATGCTGAGCAGAAAAAGGAAGAGTAAACAGTGTTTTGGTTAATACTATTTCAGTAGTTTTTCACTCAACGCAAAGGTGGGTTGCAGTTCAGCATCTGCAGAAGCCTAAACGAAAGTAGTTGTTTGATAGCATATATTTGGAACAAAGACATCTCAATGTAATGAATAGGTCCCAGCCTATGTGATACCCGAATTCACTGGCAATGAAAGTCAATAGAATTTCAATTAAAAACTAATAATCATCCTGCCAGGTCTTCTCTCAAGTGACACAGACTTACAATCTGCTGTGAACTCATTCAGACTAATGCAGAGTGTACCACTCCCATCCCCTAGTTTCCCACCTCTGCTCAACTTGCTTCCAAACCAGTGGTAAACCTAACTTACAGGATCAAAAAAAAAAAAAATCACCGTGGGCTGAGACGCTATCTGTGATGTGTTGCTGAAATAGGTAGCTTCACACCCTTGGAGTCATCCGACCCCAGGGTGAGCTGACTTAGGGAGGTTGGCCAGGGGAGGGGGAAAAAAATACAAAAATCAAACCCCACAATCAAAACAGGTGAATGATTTCCTGCTGGTTCACCTCCCTGAAGCAACTCACCTTGGAGTCAGACGTGTCAACTGGAACCAGCGTCAACTCAAGAAAAAGCATATAAGAGTGCGGTCAAGGCCAAAGCCAACACCAGGGAGAAGATTCGTTTATTTGGGGAGCAACTTGCATAAATCATCACAGTCACAAAGTTAAACCATATCTAAAACCACATCAAATCCTTTGAAAATTCAGGGATGCCAAGGGTAGGTGCACATTTATTTCCTGAGACCACAGCCTGACTTGCATCATACCTTTGAGAGAACTCTCTTAAAAAAAAACTTCTGCTGTACCCAAATCCTCAGATTTAATTTCTCCCAAAGTCGAAGCAGAGCTCCTGGGAACCCCTAATGCCTCTGGCCTAATGACAGCTGGCAACACCGAACATGTTTGCACAGCACAGCTTATCAAGTTTTTATAAAGGTGATGAAGCCTTAAGTCAAGATTCCTCCTGCAAGATGATTTTCTCTGTAAACTTTCTGATCTCTTGAGTATACATGAAGTATCTGCTTTGGTGCTTGAGGGCTCCTGACAGTTATGAGATTTGTGAACTGGCCCAATCTTTTCCCTTCCTCAACCTCTTAACAACTCTGTGGCTTAATCCCTTTGAACCAGAAAATCCAGTGCTCTCACCATTAACTACCAATACACTCGTCTCCCTACACTCCAGGCCCAATAATCTACATTTCTTTAGAGGAATTAAAAAAGAGTTTACAAACTGATTTGAATTAACTAAGTCTGGCTACAGATATATTTCCCCACAGTTGGCTTTGACCGCTGGGTCACGTAAAAGATCAAGCCTGACAATGTTAATTGTAGGGCTCAAAAATCAGAAGGCTGATGAATTCAAGATCAAATGCTTGAAGTTAAGCCATCAAAACAGTTCTTTGATGAAACTTTTTTGGGGGGGGGAAGAGCTTTTCATGACTGTTTTGGACAGAAAAATGCCCACAAGAGATAAAGGGAGGACTAAAACAAGTGTCAGACTCCTCAAGATGATGCTTAAAATGCAGTACAAAGTGCATTAGCAAAGGAGGAATCATAGGGCATTTGCATATAAAATGGCAGGGGACTGAATGCAAATCTGTCATTTTGCTCAGAGGGCAATATTACAAGAGTGGACTGGTTAAAATACAAGCGTACGCTATAATGAGCTACTTCATAAAGTTCTCTTCAAAACACAAGTTGACTTACTATTTTAAAAGTAGTCTTCAAGCACTTGAACATTCAGTACTTCATCTCACATCTTTTAATTCACAGCTTTAATGTGTTTCAAATATTGAGTATTAGTAACTGTCTAGCTGTTCTGGTCAAGACTTTAAAAGGACAAATGGGAATGTGTCACAGCTAGATGCTGATACATCCATTTTAGATACATTTGCACTGCCAACCAGCAAACGAAATATAAGCCTATCCCACAGCTGTTAAAATGATCTGTCTTCTGACAAAGCAAAATATGACAATAAAAACTGTACTTCCGTGCAAATTTTATTCACATGCAATTTATACCCTGCATGGTGTTCATCTGAAGTATGTTTTCCGTTGGGAGCAAAAAAGTAATTGTGTGGCTTTCAAATACAGACAATAAATTGGTTAGAAACACCTTAAAAATAGGCAGGGAAACAAAAGATCTCCGGTCAAAGATTACCCAATGCTACCAGATATGTCCCATATGTAAAGCCACAATAAAAACATCCTTTCATGTAATAGGAAGGGAATGAAGATAGAAACTTACAGCCTTAAAAGAGAAAACACTTTAAGAATAAATTATAGCAAAAGCAGCGTATTATAACTTCTCAGACAAAACTATTTTCAGGCAAAACTATTCTGTATATTTGTTTTGAAACACCAAACACTCTAAAGAACTGCATTTGTTTAGTTTGCTCTGATTTGGGTTTATCCCCCAGATATAATCCCAAATCTAACATGTCATCAAGATTTCAGACAGCATAATCCCTAAACTCATTTAATTGGGTGCTATATAGCCCAAAGTAGGTGAACTAAAATTCAGTACAGGCAGAAGGAGTACTTCAAAAGGGCTAACTTTGGTCTCTTCAAGAAGCTGCTTGGAGAAATCCCATGGGAGAGGGCTCTAGAGGGTAGGGGGGCTCAAGAGAGCTGGCTGATTTAAGTATCACTTCCTCCAAGCTCAGGATCGGTGCATCCCTAAGAGCAAGAAATCAGGCAAGGGAAGCAGGAGACCTGCACGGCTGAGCAGGGAGCTTCTGAAAAAGCTCAAGTGGAAGAAGGGAGTTTACAGTATGTGGAAGAAGGGACTGACCGCTTGGGAAGAGTACAAGAATGCTGTCAGGGTATGCAGGGATGAAACGAGGACAGCCAAGGCCTCCTTGGAATTAAATCTGGCAAGGGATGTCAAGGTCAACAGGAAGGGTTTCTTCAAGTGTATAGGAGGCAAAAGGAAAACTAGGGAAAATGTGGGCCCACTGTTGAACGAGACAGGTGCTGTGGTGTCAGGTGATGCAGAGCAGGCAGAGTTGCTGAATGCCTTCTTTACTTCAGTCTTTACTGCTCAGGGCAGCCCCCAGGAGTCCCAGACTTTGCAGGTGGCAGAGAAATTCTGGAGGAAGGAAGACTTTCTCTTGGTTGAAGAGGAACAAGTTAGAGAGCAGTTAAGTAAACGGGATACCCACAAGTCCATGGGTCCCGATGGGATGCACCCACGAGCACTGAGGGAGCTGGCAGAAGTCATTGCTGGGCCACTCTCCATCATCTTTGAAAGGTCCTGGAGGACAGGTGAGGTGCCTGAGGACTGGAGGATAGCCAATGTCACTCCAGGCTTCATAAAGGGCGAGAACGAAGACCTGGGAACATCATCTTTGAAAGTTCCGGGAGGACAGGTGAGGTGCCTGAGGACTGGAGGATAGCCAATGTCACTCCAGGCTTCATAAAGGGCGAGAACGAAGACCTGGGAAACTACAGGCTGGTCAGCCTCACCTCCATCCCTGGAAGGACGATGGAACAA